AGCTTCTATCCATATTTGCGTCTCCTCATAGAAGACTACATAAGCTTTTTAATGACCAAGACTGATAAATATGTTTTTGGTTCTTATCCAAATAACTGCAATTAAAATTGCACTTTAACTTGGCATAAACCCTCACTATGAGACCTCATTACAATAATTACACAACACTTACACTTTTCAAACTTACCAGTTTATCAGCATCCTCAAATTAGCAGTGCATTATATTTAAAGTGCCTGCAGTTAAGTAAAGATTACACATTTATCAAGTTCCTTAAGAAATGTTTGTTGACAGTAGGTTCTGTTACCTGTTCAATTACTCAGTAGAATTACTCAAAGAAATGCAAGCTTAGGTAATGTTGAAAACAGGTTACCTGAAATACAAAAGCAACTGGTATATAGTGTCATATTTTTACATAATAGTTCCGATAAAAGTTCATCTCAACCTGAAATGCTAGGCAGGATATTTTCCTCTCACTAGTGGCAAGCTTGGAGACAGAAAAGGCAGATCATTAACTGGAGTGGTGTTGTGCCCTGAATTCTACCATCTTGTTGCCTCCACCACAATTAGGTTCTGGGCAGGAAGGTCCATGGTTAAACTTCCTGACCCACTACCAATTTAGGCCCTTAAGTGGTCAATTAAGGGCAACTTAAGGGTCTCATCCTGTTGCCACTGGAATTAACTGAGCTGTAAGCATTCCTGTCACCATGTGGCATACACAACCGGTCAAAATGCTGTGGCTTCATGTCATCTCAGTTGTGGGTAGCAGCTTGATCAAAGGCATCAGTGCCTCCTCGAGGAATTGGACTTGAGAAGGCATGAGAGTCTGCCCTTGCTTCCAATCTCATTGCCTCCTTCTCCACATGAAACCCACAATGTGAATCACCCACCCTTCACCACTTTACCTACTTGTGCCCTGGGTCTTTGCCAATTCACAGGCCCCAGTGTGCAGTGGGAGCTTCTTTTCTTCTGGTAGCAACTTCAGCATTCTCAGTGTTAGTGTTAGGCACAAGAGCTGCCCGCCAATCAGCTTGGTGAGACTTCCAGGTTTGGGGTTTTTATCCCAGCAGTGACCTTGCTACTGTTTAGTTGGCATGTGATTCAGTGTATCTTCCAAAGAGGTACTGGGAGTCTCTTGTCAGCCTTTCAGCTGGCAGGTGAGAAACCACAACAAGATTCTGCCTGTAAACTCGGTTCCTCTCCAAAGATGCTGCCTGGGTTGCTGAGTTCACTACAATATTTTCATGGATCCCAGGCAGAGGAGGTTGATAAGTGACCTTATAGAGGCTTATAAAATCATGAAGGGTATAGATAAGGCGAATGGCAGGCTTCCTTTCCCTAGGGTGTAAATTTCAAGACGAGGAGGCATATTTTTAAGGTGACAGGAGGAAGATTTTAAAAAGATGAGTAACTTTTTTTAACATAGCTTGTGTGAGGGATGAACTTCCAGAGGAAGTGGTGGATGTGGGTTTAGTTACAATGTTTAAAAGACATTTGGATAAGTACATGAATAAAAAATGTTCGGAGGGACATGGGCCAAACACAGGCAGGTGGGAATAGTTCCATTTGGGTTTATGGTCAGCATGGACTAGTTGGACCGAAGGGTCTGTTTCCATGCTGTAAGGCTATGTAACTGTAATCCTGGCACTTTTTCTTTGAATTTCTGGTTTTCAATACCCGCAGTATTTTATTTTTGTGTTTTATTTTTACACGTCTTATTCCAGCCCCAAATAAGGCACATTTTGCTGGTTAAAAGAATTAAAGAAGGCAATGGGAAGACCAAGAATGGTATCTCAATATTAGAGGATATATGATCTTCAGGCTGGACAGGGAACGATGTGAAAGAGGAGGTGGTGTTGCATTATTAATTAAGGAGTCAGTTACTGCAGAAAGAAGGTTTGGGAATTTGGAAAGGTGCTCAAATTAGGCTTTGTGGGTTGAATTTAGGAATAAAAACGGGGCAGTCACACTATTAAAGACCTCAAAACAGTCAGCAGGTTAGGCCATAGCTAGAGTACAGCGCACAGTTCTTGAATTCACATTATCAAGTCAGGTCACCATAGTCTTACCAGAACACAGGGCTGCTCTCTCATTAGACAAAGATGACTGGTGATGATTTAAACTGAGGCTCTTTGGAAAACAATTTTAGTATGTATGATTTAACCTGAGGCCCACTACACCTCAGGCAAGGGAAGAGGTTCAGAAGGTAACCTCAGCTGGTGGAGGAAGTGAATCCAAGCTGTCAGTATCACACTGCTTTGCAAACCAAACATCCACAAATCCACATTGTAGGAGGGAAGTGATAGCACTGGAGAAGGGGCAGAGGAGAGTTACCAGGATGGAGAGTTTCAGTTATGAAAAGAGAGATTGGACATACTAAAATTGTTTTCCATAGAGCAGAGGAGATTGAGAGGGGACATGACTAAGATGTATAAAATTATGAGGGCATAGATAGGGTTGACAGGAAGAAACATTTTCCCCTGGTGGAGGGATCAATGACCAGGAAGCATAGACTTAAGGCAAGAGATATGAGGACAAACTTATTGTGGTTGGTTGGCTCGCCGAGCTGGTTCGTTGTTCCGCAGACGTTTCATTACCCTGCTGGGTAACATCATCACAGCAGCCTCCGATGAAGCGCTGGCGTGTTTTCCCGCCTGTTATTTAAACTCTAGTGTCCATTGAGCTGGGTTACCTCACTTCTGGTTTTCCTTCGCAGTGGAATATATATAGGGTCTAGCTCTGTGTTTGTTGATGGCTTTCTTCGTGGAGAACCAGGCCTCTAGGAATTCCTGTGCTTGTCTCTGCTTGGCCTGTCCCAGGATTCTGGTGGTTTTCCTTATCCATGTGGATGGAGATGAGTGAGTACTGGTCATGTCTTTTTGTTGCTTGTTGATATTCGTGTACTCTTGTGGCTAATTTCCTTCCTGAACGTCCACTGTAATGTTTGTCGCAGACTTTGCAGGGAATCTTGTATATGACGTTGGTCCTGTCCATAGTAGGTAACAGGTCTTTGATTCGGTTAGCAGTTGGCGTTAGCAGTCAACTAGCAACAAAAAGACATGGCCAATACTCCATCCACATGGATAAGGAAAACCACCAGTTTGATTGGACAACACCAGGATCCTGGGACAGGCCAAGCAGGGACAAGCACGGGAATTCCTAGAGGCCTGGTTTTCCACTAAGAAGGAATGGATCTGGAATGCATAGCAGAATGGTTGAGGTGGGAAATCTCACAACCTTTAAAATTTATTTGGATGAACACTTGAAAAATCATTATATTCGACGCTACGTGACAAGTGCTGGAAAGTGGGACTCATGTACATTTAGAATAGTTTTATCGGTGCAGACTCAATGGGCTGGAGGGCCTTTTCTGTATTGTATAATTCAATAATTCTGTGAAATGAGAGCTGGCTAGGATATAATTACTTACAATCAATTTGAAAATCTTTAGGCACTATGTAACATCTATAATTGTACAAAGTTGCACTGTTCACATTTAATTTATAATTTTTGAATGTCTGAGAAGAATAATTAAAAGTTTCAGGTTACAGACAACATTAGTAAGGCCTCAGTAAAAGAACTGACAACTCCTTCACTGTCAAACTCAGTTCCTTTTATAGCAATTATACTGTCAGGAATTTGTTTTCATACCATCATTTTCAGAGTGGTGTAAGTGCACAGTGTGGGGTTCTACTGTCTCGTCTCATCAATCTATAAAGAGAAAACTGAGGTCTAATTACCAGCGAAATGTTTCAAATTAGAAAAGAGATAATTTGGAATGTAGCCACAAGGTGTAGGTTGAGGCATATAGAATAGATGGATTTATGGGCAAGTTAGACAAAAATAAGGGGAGGGGGGCAGCAGTGGGGGTGTGCGTGGTGGGCTGGATTAGCTTAGATGGCTAAAGAGTGGTGCGGAATATAGACAACAGTGTGGTTTCAATCCTGCCTTACGCCTCTTGAACCCTGTCTCTTAGCCTTGCCTAATTCTCTTTCCCAAGAAGTCACTGAATTTATTCAAGGCAGAGTTTTTGATAGTGCATTGGTTATGGGGGGGGGGGGGGGGTGGCGTGTGGCAGCAAAGGAACTGGAGTTGAGACACTACCAGATCAGCCATAAATTTAATGAATGGTAGAGTAGGCTTGAAGAGCCAAATGCCCTACTCCTGCTCCTAAATCCTATGTTTCAATAAGAACACAAGAGAAGAAGAAATGTGTTGAAGTTAGATGAAGTAAGGTCCAACAGGATTACGAAGGTGGAAGTTTTGAAATGGTATTCTGAAAATGTTGGTATTAAAACAAATTCATGACAATATAGTTATAACAAAAACAACTTGGAGGTGAGACACATAATGTAGTTTTGTCATTCCTAGTCTTAAGAAAAAATGATCTTAAGCTGGTTCAAAATTCAGCTCCGAGGAATTTATTACAAGCACAAAAAAGCAGTCCTGGAATGCCACACATCACAGTATAACTTCAAACTTTCTTTCCGTAGATTTAAGAAATTATGCGGCACCTAGCACTCATTTTATCAAGTTTCACCTGCGGATGAATGATAATCATTCATTTTCAGAAGTCGCACGACAATCCACCCCAGGCCAACACCGGCACCTCCAAATCATTCATTTTGCATTTGGCCTAACTTGCCTGCTGCTGAACAGCAAGTGATTCCATTTACTTTAAAAGGGACTCTACCTCAATCTCGTAGGGATTTCAAATCCTATCATTTTTCTTCAAGCGTCTGTTCAGCTTTGAAAACGTGAAAGCTTAAACTGAGGCCACTTCTTAACTAAATCAGCATAATTCTCTTGAGTATTCTCACTGACACCTATTTCACATACAAAAAGTCTGCAAAACCGGTTTCTGAGTTGCGCAATATTAATGCGTTAATTTGTGTAGATTGTGTGATAGTGGGGCCACACTAAATACATACAGTATTCGTATTTCCAGTTGCAGAAATGGGTGATGACTATTTTTAAGAATGACAGGTCAGACAGTCCTCACCATTAAACTGGGATAAACATTGACACAAAGAAGCTCCTTCCTGCAGCAGTCGAAGATGCCAGGCGCCAGAAATTCGTCTTCACATATTTAGGCGGCTCCTTAATCCGCCGCTTAAATTGCGTTTTGTTTTTCTTTCGCTTTCACCGAAGATGTACCGTGCCCGTTGCCGAGGTGAAGGGGTGCAGTCTGGTCGCTGCTGCCGCCGGTTCGCTGTTGCGGTGCTTTGTCTCTGCGCGGACGCTGTTGCCACAGCAACCAGGAATTGTCGCGTTTTTAACTGGCCCCAGTCTGGGCGGGAAGATGGCTTCTTGGCCTCCAGCAAGGAGCTGCATGACAGGATGCTCCTGGGATGGGAAAAACCCAACAAGTGGCTCACTCATGAGGGAGAAAGCAGCGATATGCAGCAAAAGAATGGAAGTTCATGAATTTAGAGTCATAGGGAATATTGGAGTCAATGGGGTGGCAGGCTCCCTTGAGACCTTAGGGAATCGGGTGGTTGTTTCTGAGATGACAAGGTGTAGAGCTGG